GGGATTGCTTGTAGAGGGTGCTTGAATTCCAGGTTATTCGGCTGCTGTATGTTACTGGTTATATACAAGTTGTTGGGTAAGATGCATCATTGTATATAACGCTTATAATATTGATACCGTTTCAGGCTACTAGAATTGGGTGCAGGGCTTGGTGCTTCGGATTCAGGATGTAGTCTAAGCTGTAACTAGATAGGACTTGTGGCTATAGTAGGACCTGGGGTTTGGGGTACAGAGCTTGAGGCCTAGCGTATACAGGGCTTTCGTTCTAGGCAGGGGATTTCGGTGAGCCACGGATTCTGGATTTGCAGGCTGCAACTCGAAGTCTCAGGAAGGCGGGAAGCCAATAGCTGACTACTACAACGGTAGAGCCCTAGAAGCCCAGGTACCCGTAGAGTAGGTCCTTGGGCTACAGATAGTATAAAACTATATAGGGCCTTAAGGACAGGAACCAATTTTTTTGGTAACTGGGCTTCTAGGGTAGTATAAGGACATTGTTTCCTAGGATCCAAAATGCTCGGTTTCTGGGCTATGTAACTCTTGGGTACAAAGATTCTGCAACTGATTATTTAGGTAACTGGAGCCCTAAAGCCGGAATCACTCCCCCGTTTCAGCTGCAATCCCCAATGAATTCACAGTTCTGTTAGCACTCTTCCTGGCTCCAAGGGCTCTGTACGGAGTAGTGGCAAGTACATGAGCCATAAATATTCTAAACTCCTAGTATCTCCCTTGATGGCCCCTAGAAGAGTCCCCTACATAATCCCCCTCTATATACACCCTTTAAGGAGTCTAGACTATAGCTTATATCATAAAAGGGGCCAGGAACAGATTGATCCCAACTAGGGAACTTCTATAGAGCCTCAGTGGACACCTAGTTGCAAGGTCCTCTGAGCCACACGGTTTAGGGTTTAGGGTGAAATCTACCACCTAAGACACTATAATCCTTATTCTTGGGACCCCCCAAAAAGGTATCCCCAATTTTTGAAAACCTCTAAACCCTAAAACCTAAACCCTAAATGGTAGATTCTATGTTCTTGTCCACTATCCCCATATAACCCCCATATTACCTTTTTTTGTATTATCAAAATTATAATTACCATCCCGCCAGCCCCCCTAAGTGGCCATGAGACCCCTCATTTAGTGTAGTATAGAATGTACATTGGGGAAAATGAATAGGGATACATAGGGACATATGAGCTATAGTCTAAACTCCTAATATCCCCCTTAATCACCCCTATAATAGTCCCTCATATAATCCCCTCTCTAACACCCTTTAAGGATTTTAGACTACATGACATGTAGGGTAAAGGGTATATACTGCCCCAAGTAAGATGGCACCCTGTACAGCGCTTTGAAAAAGGACCGTGGTCTGTACAGGGCCAGTTGGGGGGTTCCCTGCTGGCAGCTGGTTTCGGGGAGGGCAAGATCCTGAACCCTAAGCCCTAAACCCTAAACCTAAACCCTAAGATCTCCAACACCAACAGCCTCCTTCATCTGCTGGAAAACTGCCTGGGCGCGGTGGACGATGAAGCGATCGATCCTGAGCATATTTGGGGATTTCCTAAAATTAGGGGTACCACTTTGGGGGTCCCCATAATAAGGATTCTAATATTTTGGGGTCTATACTGGGGTCCCCTGATTTTGGGAAACTACCATTTGAAAGCAGTGCGCAATACACTACGGTGGATACTAAAAATCCTGCATGACGCTAGGTACCCTATACCTTGGGAATAATGGTGCTACTGTATACTAGGGTCATGCAGGATTTTTAGTATTTAGTATCAACAGTAGTATGGGGCTTTCCTGCAATTAGGGGTCCCCTTCTCGGGGTTCCTGCATTATTATTTGTTGCATTTTGGGGTTCAACACCACCTTGCTTCTGGAAACTAGCGTATCCTCTACATGTTGCCTGCCTCTTGAGAGTTTAGGGTTTGGCGTTTAGACATGGAGACATACAAATCAAGTCTTCATAGTGATGGTTGGGATCACAGGTAAGGGTCTTCCTGGCATCACTGGGGCTACCATACCTACGCGACAACCAGCAATCAATCACTTCCCTAGAACAGTCCTAAATGACATATAGGCTATAGGTACGGAGAGTTGACTTAAGCTTGTGTTGCAAACCCTAACCCCTCTACCCTAACGCCTTTACGGTTGAGACTTGAGAGTTGTATAATGCTGGCTCTAGCGGTTCAAAAGCACTGCGGGATGGCTGGGGACATGCGATGTTCTCAAGATGTGAGCTGTTTCTGATGGGGTTATGAAGAATTGGGGATTAAAGCTGGGTGATATAGGAAACCTGATGCATAGGAAGTATGGCTTAAGGCTTAGAGGTTATTAGGGTCTTGGGTTTAGGACAGGGGGTGGGAAAGGCTCATAAGGAGCTACGCAGCTACGGTTGGTGAAGGTCTAGAATGTAATTGTGGAAATGTGATAGTTTCTGGTGTTACCCTTTAGCAACCCGTCAAGAAGCATGTCATAATGTGCCCTGAAGACCTGCTCGAATTATCTAGGCTCCTCCATCCGTGTGTCCTTTGTAACAAGAACTGTTCCCGAAGCTTAAAAAGGATCGAATACTTAGCACTGTGGTAGTAATTAGATGTATCTGGTTGTAGTAGGGTTTGGAGAAGCATATGCTCCATGGGCACTTGGACCGTTAGGCGTTGCGAAGCATCCACACCCGACGAGGAAAGGATGGAAATACTTCCCCAACTAAACTCAAAACCCTAAACCCTAAACCCCTAAGCCCTAAACCCTAACCCCTGAACCCCTGAACCCTTAAACCCTAAACCCTCAAAGACTCTTTGAAGGCAGCAGCGACTATTTTCTTAAACAGTGGCTACATGTCCCTGGGCTCCATAGGGGAGTTTCCCAAAATTAGGGGTACCCTGTTGGGGGTCCCTATAATAAGGACTATAGCATTTTGGGGTCTATATTGGGGTCCCCCTATTTTGGGAAACTACCATAGAGCAGCCCCATCTACTCAACCCTAACCCTAAAGCCCAACTCTCCCGCCTTGAGGCCTACACTCTTGAACCCCATCCAAGCCCTAAGTCTGTAAGTGGTACCTACTTGGGGCTATCTGGAGTCTCGAGCCCTAGGGAAGATAAAAAATGCATCCCTGTGACCCCTTTTTGAAGCGTCCCTAAGGGTACTCCCCTACACCCTAAACCCCAAACTCCAAACCCTAAACCCCAAATCCTAAACCCTAAACCCCAAACCCTAAACCCAATCCCTCCTAAACCCCATCCCGTCCGCAGCAATTCCTTGCAGCCCGAGGGCACTGGCAGCTCATCGAAAGGGACCGGATCGGCAGGGTCGAAGTCAGATATGTTGCCAAGAATCTGGCATAGGGTTTGGTTTAGGATTAGCGTTTGGGGTTTGGGGTTCAGGGTTTAGGGTTTGGCACGGAAAGCCTAGAACTTTGGGCATGGAGGGTTTAGAATCTGTGGCGTGGAAGGTCTAAAAATGTTGGTATGGACCTATGCATGGTCTGACGTATCATAACGGTGAAGCTTGCTATTGTTCTGGTTGTTACATTTGGTACTGCCCCCACCCAGTAACAGTCTGTATTAGGGGTCCTATTAAGGGCTATATATAACCATAATATATCAATTATCCAACTGTTACTGAGGGGGGGCAGTACCCAATTGTTACAGGTGGCTATGGGACATCGCGTGGTCATTCCTTTGGCTTTTGCCTGCCTGGAAATCTGGCATGGAAGGCTTCGAGGCTAAGGGATGGTAATTTAATGATATTTTAGGGTTTAATTAGGGTTTAGGGTTCAAGGTTT